TTGATTTAATTTTAGTGTGCACATAAGTGGTTTCAAATTAACACATATCTGTGTGGGAAACACATTTACTGATGGATTTATATGAAGTTTCTTTTGCCTCTAGCCTTATAATAGCTAGTTTAATACTCTTCTTCCCCACTGTCTTCAGTATGTTTATGATATCCTATATAATAAAGAGCCAATATGCAAATTGTTCGAACAGCGAATGACCAGTTGCTATGACACGCACTGACCACGAGGGGGCAGATGCTCAATGCAGGAGCTGCTCCCTGGTGCTCAGTGCACTCCCACAGGGGGAGCTGAGCTCAAGGCTGGTGAGTGCAGTTGTGGTGGCAGTTGGACATCCCCATGGCAGTCAGACATCCCCCAAGGGCTCCTGGATTGCGAGAGGGTGCAGGCCAGGCTGAGGGACCCCCTCCTTCCCTCCGCCCCTGAAATTCGTGCACTGGGCCTCTAGTTTGTTTATAATACAGATAGTCTTTTTGTTAGTGGTTGTATTGCCTCTACATCTGGTTGATTTTAATTGTTTATATTTTGGGTATATGAATGGTAAATGAATACTATGGTTCTAAGAGCCAAAAACATATATATTCATTGACGTATCATTCCCTCTTCATCACTACTACCCGTTCCCCATTCTTCCCTTCTTTTCAGCCCTTTCACACCCACCCTTGTTGGTGACCCATCCAATTAATTTCTTGTTTGCTCTTCCTGTACTTCTTCTGCACACGTGTGTTTTCTTAGGTTTTCTTTCTTATGTGGATGGTAGCACACTCTAGATATTCTTTTAGTGCTTTGCTTACCTTTCTGAACAGTAATGCTAAGAACATCTTAAGATTCAGTTAGTGCTTAGTAAATCCTAGCCATCTGTTCGTATTGTCCATGAAAGCACTTACTTAGGGTAGTTAACAGTCCTTGTAAACTTCCACTTACTGAGACCAAATGTCATGTATACAATAAGTTAGTGTAAAAATGGAACTGAAATTTCTGAATTTGTCCTGTAGAGCTTTATCTTCAGAATTAAGTTTTAGAAAAAAAATTAAAGAGATAGAAAATATCTGCCTTTTATGTTCAATGTGGTTTGTGTCTTTATGGATTTTCGTTTTTTTAGGGAATCATAGAATTAGAGTTTTAGCAGAAACATGGAGTTCAGTCCCCTTCAGTATACAAAAGGAGAAAACAAAAAGGCCCTGAATGATAAAAGATCACAATATGAAAATAGAGTCTGAATTAATTCTCATTATCTCTTCATTTTTAAATGCTATTTCTACCATATAAAGCCTTATGGAAATTTTCAAACGTATTATCCACTTTCAACAGTTATTAATAATCTGATGTTGTCGGCCCAAGCCATTCATGATAAAATGCCTTATCAACTAGTCTAAGTTTTAGCAGCTGGTGATGGCCCTCACCTGAATCCATAATTTCATCAGAGGTTGAGGAAGGGTGACATTCCCATTCTAAAATTTCCTCTCCATTTAAAAAGAAGAATTTCCCCCATCACTTGTTATCCTAAGCTAGTTCCGGAAAGGCGGAATAAATACTTGATTCTTTCTCCTTATCATTTTTTCAGGATAATGAGTCAGTTCCCTGGCAGTCTCCAAGGTTAAGTGATGAGGTAGTGAGGGGTGATGATTTTTTTTTTCAACTCATGGATTTTAACATATTTTGCTGTTTTGAGCCACTAGTCTTTGTAACTAATGTTCAAATTGTCCTATCTTTGGCCACTAGTGCCCCCTTGAAGTTAGCTTCCATGTCATTTCAGCAGAGCCCCAGTGGTCTTTGGTAGCTTCCTTCCTTTCCAGTGTAAGTCTTTTCAGGTTTCTCTTGTACATTTCTGGAAAGAAAAATAGCAAAAGGCATTTTTCTTTGGAGCCCTGGCAATGTTGTTTATAGGCAGCCAAGTGTTTATTGTTACTGGATTGTCATTGCTTCTAAGCCTTTTCAGTGGACAGAGTTACAAATGTTTTTTGAGCTTTGCCATTTGTATGTGGTAGCTTGTGTCCTTTGTTAATTGGTTATATATTTTAAATGTTGAATTGAAGGTATTAAGTGCTCTTTTTGGTGAGTAGACAGCATTTAGCATTTCATGTTTACCTCATTTATTGTGTACCTATTGCATTCTAGCTACTGTGCTAGACTTTTCACAACATGTTCACATATTCTTCTGGATTGCTCTTAATTATCCTCTTCTGTACCTTCAGCCTATCCCTGTAATATAATACTTAAGCTGCTTAGCAGTCTTTCTTCACTCTTGATCATCACATCTCATTCAAGATACTCACCACTCTCCTCAAGCCCTATGACCCAGCCCACCACTGAAGCTCTCAGTGGTCGTCTTGATCTTGCATCTGAATAGTGGAATCACATTTTACATGGAGATTATATTCTGAAGTCAGTGTGTGTAAGGTGAAATGTTGTATAAAGTCAAAATTACCCTTCAAAAAGATGACACATTGAAGACTACCACACCATTGCTCAGTATGCTAATCAACCAATTTTTCCTTCATATTTGAAACTGATGCCTCTTCAGTTGAGTTCTAGTTGAGGCAGTAGATTTGTATATCGGAGCTGTCTGATAGAATTGCAAGGGGAAACAGACAGAATTGACTTAGGGGTCCCAGGACCATCCCTAGGTTCTATGATTTGCTAGAAGTACACAGAACTCAGAAAAGCTGCTATACTCACAGTTCTGTTTTATAACAACAAAAGGATAGAATAAAATCAAAGGAAAAAGGTAAGTAGGGTGCAGTTGGAGAAACTAGATACAAGCTTTCAGTTATTCCCGTCCCCATTGGAGTCCCATGCACAGTGCTTGTTCCCCTCAGGAGTGACCTGTGACATGTTCAGTGAGGAAGCTCGCCCGAGCCTTGGGTCTAGAATTTGTATTAGATGTCACTTAGGCATGAAGCACCCATGGGACTGACCTTCAGTACTCAATCTGCAGTCCCCCTAGAGGTCAAACTCATATAGCACCTAAGGCTCCAGGCAAATCACATCCTTAGCATAAACTCTGTGGTGGGGTCCAAGGCCCCAGGTAGATAAAAACACTCTTATCATGAAGGATATTCCAGGGGCTTAGAGGTTACCTCCCAGGGGCTGGTCAAGGGCCAGTCCTGAAAACCTTTGGAGTGTGCAGGGTTAATTCTTTACTGCCCAACGTTAAACATCTAGGGAGATTTGAATTCATTATGTTATATAATACCCATTTATAATACTGGTTTTAACACAAATTATTTAGTGTTATTCTCTATGTGATTTGATGACCTTTAAGTAAAAGATAAAGGCATAATGTTAAGTTACAGTTTTATAAATTATTTTCCAATGTTGGAAATCTGTTTTCTAAAATATTTATGTTCTCTTTCTGTTTTTTTTATTATCTGAAATATTGAGCTTGGAAGTGTATGTAATCATTTGAAAATCTGTGATGGAAAAAAGTCACCTTTCCAGTGATTCCATTGTCTAAAGGGATTTTCTATTCCAGGAATTCCATGAGTGACACCGTCAGGCTAGTCAGCAACATCCAGCATCCTGGGTCTGCAGGGGGCGTTTATGAGGCCACCCAGCACTTCAATGACATCAAAGAGCACCTTCACGTAGTGAAGCGGGACATAGAGTCCCTAGTGATGCGGAACGCGGTGAGCTCTCTTCTTTCTAGCTTCATAATGACCAGCCTTCTTTAGGAAAGGAAGAACACATATTCTGTTATATTCTACTGAAGCTATTTTAACTTTTTAGTTAATATTCTTTTATAATACAGGGGTGGGCAAAAGTAGTTTTATCATTGTGAGTACTCAAAACAGTTTATTCTTGTTATTTATTTATTGTATTTATTATTATTATTATTATTATTATTATTATTATTAACCTATCCCCCCCATATTAGGTAGAATTTTTCCATATATCTGTAAGTTCTACATCATGCTTCCATAGTGTATTGAATAGAATTTTTTAAAATTGATTGCTATTCCAGTACTATCATAATCTCGGACTTCCTTTTAGGTTCTTTTCTGTAAGTTTTCTTTTTAAAAAGCTCTTGTTTTCAGTAATGATATCTCTCAACAACTTTGAAAAAAGATAAATGTCTCTCTTGACAAACTCTTAGGTTAGACAGACAGACTGTGCCAGGTAACCCAGATTTCTCTTTCGAGTGTTAAGGAAGTGCAGATCTAAAGCTGATAGCAGCTTTCTCTAAGCAAGATTATACGTACTGAAGAACTTGTCCCATACGGGTAAGCATATTGAAAACAAATAATCTTAGAAGCCATTCTGTCTACATACCTTGAGGGAATCTTTGTCTCTGATATTCATTTATCTCCTTATAATAGAAGGAATACTCATGGAAATAGGAAAAGAAACATTCTTCCTTTTTTATTTTATTAATTTTACAGGGGGTGGGGAGAGGAGAGAAACATGGATCTATCTTTCCGCTGATTTATGCTCTCACTGGTAGCTTTTTGTATGTGCCCCTGACTGGGAATCATCCCTGCAACCTTGGCATATTGGATCAATGCTCTGAACAACTGAGCTACCTGGCCAGGATGGGAAAAAACATTTTTCAAAATACTAACTAGTAATGTCACATGCTTGAGAACTGCAAAAAGCCATTAGATTTGTCAGCAATTCATTGGAAGAGTAGCCATGTGATTGTCTGAACCAGAGCACTTTGAGAGTGGTGCTGAATGCTCTCAAGTGTTCTAGTTCAGACAATTACATGGTTACCCTGTTGAAGGTGATGCTATTAAGAATTCCTCCAGTACAGCGAGCAACAGCTATGAGTGCCTGGTCTGTGACCTTCAAGGACACTAAAATTATTGTCACATGATGAACGTGGGAGATGGCAGTGAGTTAGTGCCTGGACCGTGAAAGGTGGAGGCCATCCAGTGTCAATTACTCTTTCAGAAAGTTTGGTGGTGAAAGTTAAGGGATGGAACATATTTATAAGATGAATAATTGAAAATACTTGAGTTTACACAGTAGACCATGAGTTTTATAAAGATTTCATATTTCTTTTTCTAAAATACTAACTTGACTAATTATAATAGAGCGTTCTTTGCCTTATAGCCATCAAATGAAAGACCAAAATGCCCAGAACTGCCACCATTTCCATCATGTTTATCTACGGTTCACTTCGTTATATTCGTAGTGGTACAATCGGTGCTATTCATTGGTTATATCATGTATAGGTAAGTCTCTAAAATTGGACCCAACATTTTTGTGTTTAATTTGAAATAATGAAGTTTTTCATGTTCATATACTAGAACTTTCAATACCTTTAAGTTAGGTTTATACAAAACAAATATTTCTAGTCTATTTCAGTTCACCTGGGAATGCATGTACAGAATATATACTTAATGTATTTTATACATCAAAAGATATTGTATATTTTAATTTTAAGCAGTCCTATTTGTTTTTTCTTTCTCTTTCCTTAGGACTCAGCAAGAAGCAGCTGCCAAAAAATTCTTTTGACCACCATTTTCATATGTGTACATCATGTATGTATGTACAAAATGTCTTTTTGAGGGACTGTATTTAAATTGCTTCATAGGCTAAATTATTAAATTTTGTATAAAATAACTTTAAACACTGATTTGCAGTAAGAATGAACCGCAAAGACAGCCACGTGTAAATTTGTGCATAGTACATAAAATCTATTTAAATTTCTCTGAATTTCTGTCCAGTAGAATATAGCTGAACAGAATATTGATAAATAAGAGGAAAACTAATAGAAAATGGGACAACCCCCAGATATGAAAGATACCCCCAAGTCTCAGATGTTGGAGGTTTCTTTATTTAATATAAACATACTTCCCTCCGGCCCCCCCCCCCCGCCCCAAATATGAGGTCTAAGAGCTCCTCATCATGATTATTTTGTAACAGTCTTTTTTAAAGGTCAGAATTTTCTCCTCTAAGACCCAGTCCCCACAATCCTGTAATCTAATACTACTCCCTCTGAAATCAAAGAATATGTTGTCTGAGAGCATTAAGATCTGGATAATAGTCTGCATAATGATTATTGAAATATTTTTCCCTCTGATTACCAATTATATATTTCACCTTTAAAGGAAATTTTTTTGGGAAATTAAGAGCTGCTCTTTGCCTTAAAAAAAATTAGGTGAATGCATTCCTCTGATAATAGTTTTTATGGGTATTTTGCCTGGTAATGTGTTCATTTCATGATCACTCATATGCTTGAATGTCTTCATTCTAACAGTGTCAGTTCAGTATCATGAAAATGTTTGCATTTGTATTTGTGATTTGAGGAACTTCTCCCCTTCTATGCAGCTTGTAAATTCAGCTCAGGTTGCACGTTCAGAGGATATTTTAGTTCACAAAACCCACGTGACGTCCTAGTTTACATTACTTCATACAGCCTGGTGATGCCGACTCTGCCTGCTTGTGTAAGTCAAGGAGGCTGGGTAGGAGCAGTGTTAAGATTTTTGAAGGCAAAATTTGAGAAATAGAGTTAATACTTCTGATTCCCTTCTTTTAGTGCCAGAACTGAGGATATCGTGAAGTACTTGTTAGTAAGCTTGACCTTGAAATGTCAGAAGGGAAGGAGTTGATGTAGACTTTGTACAGAATCCAGGGCATTATTGAAATAGTCTGTCAATGACATTTTAAAATGCACTTAAAAAGAAAAAGACTAAAACAAAATGCACTTCATTTTGTTTTCACAGCTGATGTAGACTTATTTTTGCTGGCTTCCAAATACCTTTATCTCTTTTAGCTAAAGTGGTTATCTTTCATTTGTTGTAGAATCCAAAATAATATTGTTTTGTAAAGTAGTGCTATTTAATTCTTCCAAGCCTTCATAAGTTTATTCTGAAATGTCATTTACAGATTGAGCTGACTGCTTAAAATCTATACAAAGACTCTGAAGAACTCTACATGTTAGCAGTACCTAACTTGAGCTACATATGCAAACAGTCCTAACATTGCTTTTTATGTTAGCATTTCTCCTAGAACACTGAACAAGAATATTCTAATGATTACTGACTTAGTTCAGTCACTTCAACGTAGAAAATGCTTCCATAGTGCTTTTCCTGGTACTGTTAACATTTTGAATTCATGTTTGAAAGACATCATCACAGAATTTACTCTTATTTCATTAAAAAAAATTAATACTTTCAGAAGAGTGTTTAAGTTTGTAGACTATGTACTGGGAAATCCTCTTGAGATAAAAGGCTTCCAAATATTCAGTATTACAAATCCGTGGTCACACGTGCCTGGACTTATTGAGGAATACCAATCTATGCAGTGTATATTTTCAGCCTGAAATTCCAGAGGAGTCATTCTGACCATCCTAATAGAAACAAAGACAGCTGTTATGAAAGATCACGAGCATGACTCTTTTCTACTTAGTAATTTAATTTGCTCAAAATTATTTGGCAAAGCAGTTTGCACAGGTGTTGATCATATTAATTGAAATTTGTTTTATTTTCCTCAAAACAATTGACTTGAGCTCATTTCTGAAGAAAAATGTATTTTCTGTGGAAAAATCAGTCACTGCCAGGATTCTTTCATTTCTGTACTGTTTTTGTATAATTGAATTTGTTAACTTGTCTCACACCAGCAAGTAATTTTACAGGTGCCTTGGATTAAAACAAAATTGATCTTTAAATTATACTGTAAATCATGCTTTATGATGCCACTTTAAAAAAGAAATGCAATTGCATAATGGTTGACACGCTTACTTAATGTGCCTATTTGTGTTCTAATTGTTTAGATGTTTTATGCAGCTGGAAACTTTCCTGTGAAACCACAAACAATAAACCGTTTTTTTTGTTACGTATTAAAGGGATATCAGTGTTTCTCACAGTGTTGTCCGTGGACCTTCGGGCCCTGGAGTGCTTGTTAAGTATGCAGATCCCAGGGCTTCATCCAAACCCAAACTCAGGGGTTGGCTTCAGAATCCGTTTTCAGCAGGTGCCTCAGGTGATCCTGAGCACACTAACTTGAGAACCACTAAGAAGGGGAGTGGAGGGAAATGAGTATTGTTTTGTTGGCTTAAAGCTGAGCTGAGCACATAATGTAACTTTTGTTGTCAATTATATTAGCAACGTGCACTGAGTCTTTTATACTCACAGTTTACTTAACGCTCCTTTTACTGAAACTCTTGGTTTAGTAGCAGCTACAAACTAAACCCAGATTGTTGCCTGTAGCTCTTCATACTTTAGTTGATGGCTTTTAAACTTAAAAATCATTTTCAGATCATGGTCAGGCCATGAAAACTCCCATCTTCATGTCTGCCTGCTAAAGCTTTTTGCGTTCCTGATTGCAATTTTTGTGACATTTTATCTCAGACAATTGTACTTTTTGATAACTTGGGGAAAACAGAAACTACTTGAATAAGGGATTGCCAGGTCCACTGCATCTCAGAGACGCGGTGTCTGTGACAACGTGACAGTTGTGAATATTCAGATGTGATATCTTTTCCTGCCGTGTGCTTTTCACAGGGAGATCATGAACAAGTGATTATATTGGGGATTATTTTATTTATACAATCTAATGTGAAATCACCACTTGCAACTTTTTAGATCTGTATGTTGCCTGTTTAACATATTTCTTTAAAAGTTTAAAAGAATTTTCTACCCACTGTTAATTTTAATTGGATAACATTTTGTCAAGTGTTTTTTTTTTTGTTTTTTTTCTTTCTGATTGTTACTGATGCTAGCTGGAATTCAAGAAATGACATTGACCTTATTCAAATAAAGAAATATTTTAGTAAATTTACTTTTTCCTTCATTGTTCTCCAGTAATCGGTAGGTATTTATTTTCCAAATAGGCCCTGATTTGTGATAGTATTTCATTTATGACACACTGTGTGCTCAGCCCTGGGTGGTGTACCACCTGCGGAATCAACACATGGGAGCATAAGAAGAGAGGTAGAGCCCTAACTGGTTTGGCTCAGTGGATAGAGCATCGGCCTGCGGACTGAAGGGTTCCAGATTCGTTTCCGGTCAAGGGCATGTACCTTGGTTGCGGGCACATCCCCAGTAGGGGGTGTGCAGGAGGCAGCTGATCAATGTTTCTAACTCTCTATCCCTCTCCCTTCCTCTCTGTAAAAAAATCAACAAAATATATTTTTAAAAATAAATAAAAAAGAAAAGAGGTAGAAATGGTCATGGATAAATGCTAACCCTGCTGATAATGAAAAATATAGATTAATTAAAATAATGTATTTGATGTTTTTACTCTTAATAATCAAATACTGGTAAAAGTCTAATTAATCTGGAATCTTAGTCATTCATTATTAATGGCAGTAAAAAGATATTTTAATCTTTTTAGCAAGCACCATTTAACCAAGTAATTCCAATTCTGAGAGTCATGCAGTATAAGAAGGAAAGAGTAGAGCTTTGGGTCAGACAAATCTGGGCTTGAATTTTGGCTCCGCCACTCAGTAAAGAAGACCTTCAGTTTCCTCATAATACTCTCTCCCATGGTTGGTGGAATGTAAAAGAGAATCTTTATAAAGTGGTGTCAGAAAATGGTAGACTAAGGAAATGGACCCCTCTTCTGAGAATACTGGATAAAATAAAAGATTTAAATAAATTAGATGGGTTTAAAAGAAATCAAAGGAAACTTAAGCCTGATTAGTGAGCTTGCAGGGGTTGTATGGTGGAAACTAGATGCTCTGAAGGCCCTAGCTAGACACTTTGGGGGGTATTGGGACATGGCCTTGCAGGCCATAGTGAACATCTGGGGTTTATTCTAGGAGCATGAGAAGCCTTTGGAGGGGTAACACCTAGTGGTCCCATTTATTTTCCCTTTCTGGAGGGATGAATGATTCTACACACAGCAGCAAATACAGTTACTGAATGTCCCAAGTAGAAAGGCCATTGTAATTAAGGATTAAAAAGTTTTCAAAGACATCCCATTTTCAATGGAATTATCTTTTGGGAAGACAATGAGAGACTTGACTTCATGAAACAAAGCAACGCCCGAGAGTGTTCAGTTTGCACACTGGTGTAGCTACCACTTAAGGGTCTCTAATGCTTGGCACTGCCCCCAGCATACACACACACAAAAGGACTGGACAGGGAGAGGCTGCTTTACACACTGGTTTTAGTTTCGAATTGACACCATTACCATTAATATTTCCTAATTCCTAATAAAGTGAAATTTAAAAATATTTTATAATCAATATAAATAATTTATAACAAAATATAATGAAATTTTTATTGTTTTGGTTTTTTGTTTTGTCAGACCTACCAAATTCATGTTGACTTTGGGGAATTTCACTTTCTGACCAAAACTATTTTAATAGGACAGATCTCCAGCAAATAGTCATTGTTATGGGAAATAATTTTTAAATAGGTTAGCAAAAGAGAAAGCAGATCTTTAAGTTTATAAAACAAGCATTTTAGGCAAAACTGCAGATGACATAGTTCTGTACAATCTGAAGGATAGTCATCTGTTTCCTGGAAGGGCTCATGTCTACAGTTACAACAGGCATAGGGTGCAGCTAGCCCTTATCTCTTAAAAATGGAACTCCCATTTGACCAGTGATCCCACTTCTAGGAATATATCCTAAGAAACCCAATACACTCATCAGAAAGAACATGTGTACCCCTATGTTTATAGCAGCGCAATTTACAATAACAGATTTGGAAACAGCCTAAGTGTCCATCAGCAGATGAGTGGATAAAAAAACTATGGTACATTTACACAATGGAATACTATGTGGCAATATAAAAAGAAAACTCTTACCATTTGCAACAGCATGAATGGACCTGGAGAGTATTATGCTGAGTGAAATAAGCCAGTCAGAGAAAGATAAGTACCACATGATCTCACTCATGTGGAATCCAATGAACCAAATAAGTTGATGATCAAAAATAGACCCAGAGACAAAAAACATGAACAGACTGTTGAACCTCAGAGGGGGGGGGGGGCCCTATGTAATACTTTCAATAATAAAGATTAAAAAAATAGCCTACATCTCCTCCTCACCCCTGCTTTGGAATACTTTAATTAGAAAGATACTAATGTAGATTAAAGTCTTAGCCGTACTAGATTCCTCCCTTGACCTGAGGAAAACCAGGACCATTGAGAACCTGCTGTGTGACTAGACATTGCCAAAGGTTTTCTCCAAGTACTGTACACCACTGAGCTTAAAGAGAGCATCCAGGAAGTGGACTGTATGTAAGAGAAGGCGACCCATCACATCGATGATGTGACCTCTATGTCCCTACCCTCAGCATGGGAGCACCGACAGTGTGCAGAGCATCGCTTCCATGCAGGCATGCACCATTTCAGTGCAAAGGCTGCGAGAACCTTCCAGATGTAAATTAAGGACCCACTGGCAGTCCCTTTGGACTTGCCACAGTTAAGTGTTTATGTATGAGACACAGTAACCACCGAAGCAGGACAGAATCCAAGCAAATCAAAGGCAAATCCTTGCATAGCACAAAGTCCAATAACATAAAATGATGGATCAACGGATTATTTTTGCTTAATGAAGCATTTTGGGTTTTGAGTCTCATTGGACTTGCTTTTCAATAGGACATGCTCTGGGCTAGAATTTGGAAATTATACTACAGCCATATAATGTCAGACTAATTTAATTGAACTATGGATGTGCTTAGCATAATATAAAACTTAGAAGTGGGTGAGGAGGGAGGGTAGAAAATGGGAAGGATTTTTCCCTCTGAAATTAGCTTAGTGTATTAATTCAGAAAGTAGTCGGTTCCATCTGATTGTAGGCTTCTATAATCTGAACCATCTGCCCCTGCATCCGAGGTAGCTCGCCTCTAATCCAGCTTACAGCCGCAAACCACTCTTCTCCATCAGGACACCCTTGAGGACATGAGGCCCTGCAAAGCCCTTTGCTCTTAAAGGCCTGGCTGTCATTGAAAATATTTGGAGATTTTGTGTTTTTTCTCTTCTTTAGGTTTAGTCTGAGTTTTTGGGTTTCTTTTTCTGGAGCAGAAACAATGGCTTTCTTTATGAAAACTATGATAAGTAACCAGGTAAAGAATTTAGGATTTGGTGGCAGGTCTGAAGAAAATAAAGAAGAAGGAGGGACCTCGGATGCTGCCGCAGCTCAAGGGATGACCAGAGAGGAATATGAGGAATATCAGAAGCAAATGATCGAGGATAAGTGAGTACCTGCCACTTCGTTTCCCTTTAAAAACAAAATGGAGTTCCTGCCGGCCTTACCTTCACTAGTTCCCTAGTATCCTTCTCTTTGCTCTGTAGATGCCTTTCCTTGTGCTGTCTGTCTGCCTCCAACCTTGCGAAAGCGTTCTGCTAAAGTGAACAGTTTTGTAGTGTCAGCAGTTACTATATTCTACCTGTATGAATAGGAATGAAAAAGAAAAAGTGAATCGTTGTTTTTAAGCAGCTTAACACTTTCTGATCGGGGGCGGCACGTTGTAATGAACCTCAATTTAAATATTCGCATGAAAAAATGTGAGCCTGTCTTTATCGGTTTTCTGAAATTCACCCTCCTAGCACGTAGAAAGCTTTCAAATTGTAAGAATTCAGACTTGGCACCTGGAAGAGGGCCTTAAAGAACATCTAGTGCAGCCATCTTGATCTCACATGTTGCAAATAAAAGCCTAGAAAACATGTGACTTGCTTTTCAGACTATGATTAAATTTGTGGGCTGTGTGTTATGAAAATTTTAAAGATACAGAAAAAGAACAGTATAATGAATACCCATATATACCTGTTATATATAGTTTTTAAGTCCTCACCTGAGGATACTTTCATTGATATTTTTAGAGAGGGGAAGGGACAGGGAGAGAGGAAAACACTGATGTGAGAAAGAAGCGTCAATCTGTTGCCTCCCACAAGCAAACCGACTGGCATGTACCCTGACAAGAATCGAAACTGTGACCTTTGGGTATATGGGACGATGCTCCTACCAACTGAGCCACACTGGCCAGAGCATATGATATTGTGACACATTTGCTTATCGATAGATTAGTTGGATGGATGGATAGATAGATAGATAGAACAACTTTTAAAGAAAATTACAGGAATCATCATACTTCACCTCTAATTATTTCAGCCATATACCGCCAAAAATTAAGGACATTCTGATGGCTATATAAAATGTAATAAAAATAAAATATTCATAATATTTTAGTTGGGTATTATGAAATGTGAATATCACCAGCAATTTTTCACTACTAAAGACTGATCTTTAAATAAGTATATGTAATTTTTTAAGTTCAAGGTTGAATCAATTTAAGAGTCTTTTAGTAATCAAGTAAGAATTGAAACATTGATCTTGAGGTTAAATGTTCAGTATATGTTACAAAAGAAAAATATTTTTGGCACTATGGCTATTTTGCTAATGATCAGTTACATAAGAGTTGCCAAAGTCCTATTGCTAAGGTGATTATAAGTGAAAAGGTTAATGACCTGGAGGAAACTAAGTACAAAGACCTACACTTAATGGAAACCTAGTCTATTGTATTTTTTCTGAAAGAAATCATTAGAAACTATCTAGACTGGTATTATGCTTGGCTCTGCAGTAAATACAACCACAAAAGTGATGTTGATGCTAAGATAATACTTGGGCAAAAATAAATAAATAAATAAATAAATAAAGCAGCATTCCTTGAATATTGTCTAGTTTTGCCTATGGCATGTAAAAAAAAAAAACCCACCAAGTATAATAAAGAAATAGAACAATAGCACCAAATTCTCAACTCAAATGGGCTTATAAAAGGAAAATGTCAGGTATTGATTGTTTGATTTCAGAGAGGAAGCGAGAGGGGGAGAGAGATAGAAACATCAATGATGAGAGAGAATCATTGATCAGCTGCCTCCTTCACATCCCCCACCAGGGATGAGACCGCAACCTGGGCATGTGCCCTGACCGAGAATTGAACCATGTGACTTCCTGGTTCATGGGTCAATGCTCAACCACTGAGCCATACTGGCTGGGCAAAATGGTCAGGTATTTAGACTATACACCTGATCTTATAATATTTAATATGTCTCAGTAATAAATCTGCTCATAGATACGGCATCTGTTTAATTAATTGATGTCCTGGTTTTCCTTAATTTTATATCTGGACAGATCAAAGACCAAAACACCCAAATGATATTGTTATTTATTGGATTGGGTTATTTGCCAGCTACTTGTGTGTGTGTGTGTGTGTGTGTGTGAATATTATGAATTTATGTAGTCATCTAATGTAAGAAATATTAACGAGACAATGGAACCAGCCTGCTTCTCCATGGCAAGAGACATGACTTCTAGTCCATTGCTTGAGTTTTCAAGAGCTTCGTCACCAAAATACAACATAAAGAAATGGGCATCAAAACAGTTCATCACAGGTTTCATGTAGAAAGAGCTATAGACATCATAGTACATGCAATCATTAAAATGAATACTAGTAAATAGAAACCTTCCAAACCTGTCCTCATCATTTTAGAAAAATTGTGGGGTTGACTCCACTAATTGTAATCTGAAACCTACCTAACAATGCACTCTACTACACATTCGTTTTTATTTTACTTCTATCTTCAGATTTTTTTTCACTACTGATAACATTAATACTGAAAGAGGTCTACACCAAAACAGAAAACATTTGGAAAAGTCTAAATAAAACAGCTATCTGCTTATCCCTCCATGTCTCTTAATTACATTAAAATGTCCCTTTATCTTAGCTATGGTACAACAATTGCTACAGTAACGTTTGTAACTTGAACTTCGATATGCATCACAGACCAAAATATAAAAGCTAAAATTATAAAGCACTTAGAAAAAAGCATAGAATATCTTTGCAACTTGGAAATAGGCAGAGATTTTTTAAACATGACTCTGAAAGCAATTACCATACAATTTTAAGTGATAAATTAGATGTCAAAATTAAAAACTTCTGTGCATCAAAAGACACCATTAAGAAAATAAATAGGCAAGCCGCAAATATAGAAAATATTTGCAAAACATGTCTGATGAAGTACTGGGATCTAGAATATAAAAATAATTTCTAGCCTGGCCAGCGTGGCACAGTGGTTGAGCATCAATCTATGAACCAGGAGGTCACTGTTCGAGTTCTGGTCAGGGTACATGCCTGGGTTGGGGGCTCAGTCCCTAGTGTGGGGCATGCAGGAGGCAGCCCATCAATGATTCTTTCTCATCATTGATATTTCTATCTCTCCCTCTCCCTTCCTCTCTGAAATCAGTAAAAATATACTTTTTTTAAAAAGTTGAACAAATACTTCACAAAGATATACAAATGACCAATGAGTACATGGGAAAAAAAAAAGCCCAGTATCATTAGTCATCAGGGAAATGAAAATTAAAATCACAGTAAGGTACCATCACACACATACCAAAATGGCTAAAATTAAAAAGACACAATACCAAAAGTTGGCCTAAGTGTGATAGAATTCTTCTGGTTGATGAGATGTATGAGCACATAACCACTGGGGTAAAGGTCTGACAGTTTCTAATAAAACTACACTTAGTCAACCAAATTACCCCATCACTTAGTAATTCCATGTCTAGATATTACCGAGGTGAAATGAATATACATGCTCACAAAAAGATTTGTACAGAAATGCTCATAGCAGCCTCATCACAGTAGCCCCAAACCGGAAATAGCCCAGCTGCCCATCAGCAGCAGGATGAATAAACAAATGTGATATATTCATATGGTAGAATACACTCAGTAATAAAAAGGAACAAACTGATCAATGAAAAACTTGGATAAATCTCAAAAGTTTTTTATGCTGAATGAAAGAAGCCTTACACAAAAGAAGGCATAATGTATGGTCACATTTATGTGAGGTTCTAGAGCAGGCAAAACCAATCTAAGACGGCAAGGACACAGTGGGAGTAGGTGTTGATTGGGAATGGGGATGAGGGAATGTGCTCAGGTGACAGTATGTTTTTTATATCTTAATAGGAGTTTGTGTTATACAGAAACAGAATCAATAGAACAAACATAGGCAGGTAGGTAGATAGTTAGATGATAGATGGTGAATAGATAATAAAACTATAAGCAAAGACATAACTATAATTAATGGTCATGCATGTTGCAGTGGGGGAAAGAGGACTGATTTCTACAATTTTGAAATGCATCAAAAAATAAGATGGATAAATGAATGGTTAGAGTGGGGTAGATATATTATAAAACATGTCTTAGTAAGATGCCCATTGTAGAATCTAGATGGTGAGTACATGGGTTTCACTGTAAAAGTCCATTAACTTTTCTGTATGTTTGAAATTTTTTATAATAAAATATTGGGAGGAACAAAAAAACCTGCTTCTGCCCATGCCACAGGTCACTGATGTCTTGGATAAGTCATTTAATTCTGTTTCCCTCTTCAAAATTAGAAGACTGAACCCAGTACTCCCTCCTGCCTGCCTATTCCAGGCCTGACATTTTGTGGTGGGCAGTGGGTTCAGGGGGTGCCTGAGCCCAGGGCCCAGTGCTGAGCAGTTTAATCTGAGTGCTTCAGACCCAGCTCTTCCAGCGGTCAGCCTTCCCTGTCATGGTTAGAATGATTTCAAAACTTGAATTTGAGAATAGAAATCAGTTTTGCCACCTGAAAATGAAATAGTTTGTTTTAATGCAAACAGTGCTTCATGCAAAGATGCTTCCCCAAACCCAAGAGCAGAAATCCCATCAGGCCCCACCTGGACCTAAACCAAGACGCAGAGAGCTGTTGGGAAGCCACTAGCACTCTTTTCCATCCCTCACCATTGCTTCTATCTCACAAGAAAACTTTGCTCTTTCTTCTCAGCAGGGAGCTCCCTCCTCAGTCTATTACCCAGACCAGGTGACCCATGGAAAACAGCCGATGGCCTCCATGTTCACCTGTCACAGCTCCAGCCACCAGCTCCAGCCAAATTCCCAGCGAAGAGGTTTCATTTACCCAGTTTAGTCCAATCCAATCCAGCTAGAGGGCAGGGCCGTGTGTGTAAATTTAGCCCCAGGAATACACTCCTGTGAGCAGGGCAGGTGGTATTGTGAACTTTGCAGATATTCTCTGTCGGGATCATAAGCAAGGGAGTTTATTTCAAACCAGCATAATCACAAGTCCAGTTAGGTGGCCCCCAGAGCAGTACGCAATCAGTCTCACCTTGAAGGGCTGCCTCCTTTCAAACAAGGAAGGGAACACCCCTGGGGGTTGGGGGTGGGGGGGTGACAAGGAAGGGAAATGGCTTTATATTACAACCCCAATACCACGTGCCTCCAAAGCACCCCCAGTTCTGGACGTTTTTGTTGGCTGGAAAGTCACTCAGGAGCTTGTTAGAAATGCAGCTCCCACAACCCATCCCCACGTCTGAGGGCAGTGGGACTGGAAGGTGTAGCCCCATGTCTGGCCTCTCTGAGCACAGGTCTGAACTCCTTAGCTCTACACCAGCGGTTCTCAACCTGTGGGTCGCGACCCTTTGGGGGTCGAATGACCCTTTCACAGGGGTCACCTAAGACCATCAGAAAACACATATATAATTACATATTGTTTTTGTGATTAATCACTATGCTTTAATTATGTTCAATTTGTAACAATGAAAATACATCCTGCATATCAGATATTTATATTATGATTCATAACAGTAGCAAAATTAGTCATGAAGTGGCAACGAAAATAATTTTATGGTTGGGGGTCACCACAACATGAGAAACTGTATTAAAGGGTTGCAGCATTAGGAAGGTTGAGAACCACTGCTCTAGACCCTCTGATACTTTCTTCTATTCTTTTCCTTTTAGGATGGAAAGAGATGCTTCATTTACACAAAAAAAGGCAGAGAGGGCATGCCTCCGAGTTCATCTCAGAGAAAAGTACAGACTTCCAAAGGTGAGACACTCCTAACACAATACACATCCAACCATTTCTTTTCTTTCCTTTTTTTTTTTTCTACCTTGCCTCCAACCATTTCTTGCATAATTAAAAATGGAGAATGTTTGATGATCAGCAAAGGATCATGGTCATGGATATATGTATATAGTAATCCTCCCTTATCTACAGGGGATATGTTTCAAGACCCCCAGTGGGTTCCTAAAACCGCGGATACTGCAAACTCTGTACTGTATATATTAAGTTTTTCTTATACATACATGCCCATGATAAAGTTTAATTTATAAACTAGACACAGTAAAAGATTAACAACAATAACTAATAATAAAATAGAACAATTTTAATAATATACTGTAATGAAGGTCATGTGAATGTGGCATTTTTAAGTAAAATAAGAATGACTTGAACACAAGCACTGTGATACCACGACAGTCCACCTGGTCACCGAGCCGGCTACTGAGTGACTAAGGACAGGGAGTATAAACTGTGGAGACACTGGGCAAAGGGACGATTCATGTACAAGGCAGGACTGGGCAGGATAGTGTGAGAATTCATAACACTACTCAGAAGAACTTACAATTTAAAATGTCTGAATTGTTTAATTCTGGAATTTTCCATTTAATATTTTGGGCTGTGGTTGACTGTGGTTAACTGAAACCACAGAAAGTGAAACCATGGATAAGGGGGAAACTACTGTATATATACATTATATATATATATATTATACACACACACACATATACATACATATATATGAATACATAAATACAAATTATATGCATGTGTGTGTATATCCTATATAATAAAGAGCTAATATGCTAATTAGACCAAACAGCAGAACGACCATCTGGACGACCTTCCGGACGAAGCCGGGACTGTGAAGAGCTTCGAGGGCTGGCCGAGGCAGCTGGGGCTGCGAGGGCCAAGCCCCTTGCACAAATTTCATGCATTGGGCCTCTAATATACTAATATATGTATGTATATGTATGTGTATATATATGTGTGTATATACATATACACACACACATATACATACACACACATAACCAAACATAACCAAGGCATGGTATAGTGAAAAGAGCATTAAACTAGGAGTTCATAAAGACTGGATCCCAGTCATTCTGCTTCTATAAACTTCCATTTCCACTCAACAAAATGAACACCTACAGATGACATTTTAATGAAAATTTACTGAAGACTCTAGAACAGCTATATACAAATTCATAATGGGGCTAATGATCAGAGCTGCCATTCATTGAGCTCTCAGTGCAGGCACTGTGCCAAGTGCTCTGCATGTGTCAATTCATTTTCTCCTCTCAGTTCTGTGAGCAGGCTCATTCCTACATTAGGGGAAACGGAGGCCCAGCGAAAGTCCCCTCCTCCCAAAGGCCACACAGCAGAAGGGCAGAGCCCGGAGCCCAACTTCTTTAATACTCTGCCTCAATGTCAAAGGAATGATCGGTGGCTTCTGTTTGGGAATGATGTGGCAGGGCTGGTCATCAGCTGGCTCCATCCTACCTGTCTTGGCTGAGAGGACCAAGCTATTCACAGTGCATCTACTGCACATCTGTTTTTATTTCACTGTGGAGCGGAGGGAAGAGGATGACATGTGCGGCAGGGCTCAGACGCACTCTTCCAGGCCTGCATGGATGACAGAGGGCCCAGCACTTAGCTCCTCTGGCTCAGACATTCCCCCTCCTGGGGATCGCCCAGCTCCTCTAAATGACTCTAGGTCGGTGTTCAACTTCACGTTCCGGAGGTGCACGCTCCTTACGAGAACACCTTCCACCTGGAGAAACCAGAGAGGAAGATCCAAAGTACATGTCCTCCCACCCCACCCCCACCCCCGGGATGAGAGCCACTAAACCTATTCCCCCAATGGGTCTCCTGTAGATCCCCGAAAGCTGACTTCAGAAGCAACAAGCAAGGAAACAAAGGGAGACAGGCCACACTGTCCATGCAAGATCGCTGCTGAAGTCACCAAAGGGTCAAATAGACCCAGCCTGTGAGAGAGATTGATCCCTAGGACCCAGAACAGGAAAACTCCCAATGACATTTGAACTCATTTGCCTTTGAGACCAACGAAATTTGAAAAGAATGCCTTGCTTTTTGTGCCCTGTATTCCGGTTTAGCAAGTACTTTTCCCCATCAAGCTTGCATTGTGGAAGAGTGGAGCGCTTCTAAACACTGTCCCTTCCACTCCCAGTGTCCGGTAGGTTTCCTGGTGCTCCCTGGGGTGTCTCTGCTGTTCAGCATTATGGTTTCCCCGCACTCCAGGCAGGATGCCTGACTCAGATTTATGCTGCCAAACTGGAGCTCCTGCCTCCTGCCTTGGATATATCTGATTAAGCATCACAAATCTTGTTTGGAACAAAGCAGAAATTACACACTTACACACACACACACACACACACACACACACACACACAGCCAATAGGCCATGTCTCTTCCACAAAGGTAGACTTTTTAATGATTTATTTTTGTCAGCTGCTCTGCTGTCCTTCTGTGGGATATAATGAAAAATGGGTTTCAATTCTGGCTCTGCCACCATGACACGGTGCAACCTTAGGGGGCTTCTAAAACAATCTGAGCCTCAGCTTCCCCACCAATAAAATGGGGCAATGATACCTACTTTACAAGGTTTTTGTCTGTGATAACATAGGGATGGGCAAAAGTAGATTTACAGTTGTTTGTGTGGAAAACAATACAATAATTCATATATAATAATACAAGAATAAACTCTGTTTTGCATACCCACAACTGTAAACCTCCTTTTGCCCAGCCCTGTATAATGTAAAGAGCCTAGTACAGTGCCTGACTAATGGAAAGATCTCAATATGTGATAGCTCTTATTATTGCACATAATAACAACCAGGGGACTTGGGGACCACGGGCAAGCGCACTGACATTATAAACAATACAGCAACTCGAGTTCTCTGAACCTCAAGAATCAGAGCTTTTGATTGTTTTCTTCCTTGGTGGTGAGCCAGTGGTCTTGTTCATTTCCCGATCCTCGGGGTGAGCCCCTCAGGCTTAGCAGCAGGGTTTTGATGCTCTTCAGAGAAAAATAATTCCCACATCTCTGCGCCAAGCGAGCATGTGGGACAAGAGGCTCTCCAACAGAAACTATGGGAAGACGAAAGAATTATAGCCATGAAATCTGCACATTCATATCCTCCCTGGAGAGGGCCAGGCCCTGGGGAGTGATAGCGACTATAATTGCCTAGGGTACTGCTCCCCAAAGCCAGCTGGGTTAGGAATGGAAGGAACTATGATAAAGTTGATAAATGGCTAACAGTGGAGTCCAGAATCTTTCCTTGCATGACTCCCCTGTGCTCATATAGCCCCTTTTCTGTACTGTTTCAAATTCATCATGCTTATGAGACCTCACCTGATATTTTCATTAACCCTGAACGAGGCCTTTGAGTTCATGTAAGAAACTAACACCACTTTTAGCGCAAGGAAACTGCAGCCGCTAGGGTGGGGGAGGTTAAAAACCCACAGCTATTGAGTGACAACCAGGATTGGAATTTAGGCCTCTCAACCATGAAAAAGAGTGACTTGCCCTGACCGGTTTGGCTCAGTGGATAGAGCGTCAGCCTGTGGACTGAAGGGTCCCAGGTTCGATTCTGGTCAAAGGCATGTACCTTGGTTGCAGGCACATCCCCAGTAGGGGGTGTGCAGGAAGCAGCTGATCAATGTTTCTCTCTCATCGATGTTTCTAACTCTCTATCCCTCTCCCTTCCTCTCTGTAAAAAATCAATAAAAAATATTTTTAAAAAAGAAAAAGAGTGACTTAAGAAAGGATTTGAACACGGTCTGTTTCTCTTCTTAATATTCCAGGCTTCTCAAAAGTTTAGTGCAGTTTTCAGTTCCACGTGGCTTAAAACTGCATGAAGAA